ACATACCGCTGTGTCACTGGGGGGGGGTACTTAAATTGAGTTTTTGGTCCACTATATTGATTCATTTATAAGTAAAGAGTCGAAATTATAATTTAAAAAATTATGTTAAAAATAGTCATGAAGATGGTCGTTAAACTAATTATTTTTTATGATAATTTTGCTTGTACGTTTCCCTATTTTTTTCATAATGTCTTATCGTACAGTGCATCAAATAATTGCTACTGTACCCTTTGGTGACTCAACGATAAGCTTATAACTTTGAAATCAGGTTGCGATACCCACGGTGGGCAGGGCACAGACAGCTCATCGTTTAACATTGTATTTAATAACAAGTAAGCAATTAATACTCTAAATGTAAAGGTATTTGGGGAAAACATAACCCCAATCCACCCAAACCCCGTAGTTTCTGACTGCATTCCTCAGGCGTGTCCTCCGGTGAGACAGCGGTAAATCTTTGGATTTATAATGCTAAAATCAGAGGTTCGATTCCCCTCGGTGGATACAGCAGATAGCCCGATGTGGCTTTGCTGTAAAAGAAAACACACACTCCTCAGGCGCACTCCAGGCAAGTTAGATACGCTTCCAACTTTAATTTCCCACAATATTTTGTTTCTGCTGCGTTTGTTAAATGTTTAGCATTTGACAGACTTTAATAACCACAGCTTATAAGTTGAAAGGTAAGAAAAATTACTCCGTTGTATAAGTTGTACTGTAGGTGACGAAACATTCTTGTGTTGAAAGTCCTTAAAATTGTTTAATCAACATTTTAAAAACAACATGAAATAAACTATTGTGATATCTGAGAATACTTTTGGCATTATTCCAGAAGTTTCATAACAGTCTCAATTCATCATCACCTTTTTGTCTTTGTATACCTACCAATTCTGCCTTATTTCCCACATGCAGTGTATTATGTACTTTACTTACTTAGTAACATTGGACTATATTTAAACATTTTATCAACTGCAACTGGCTGGAGAATATTAACTGACAACGTTTTGGTCTTTAAAACAAGACCTGCTAAAATTGAAACACTGTGTACAAAAGGGTATGAAACGAACTTTAAATAAAATATTATTTACTTATTATTATTGTAGTAATTTGTGTATCCGTGTGATAATTTTAAATGTTATCATTACCTTGGTTCTATCAATTGAGCTAAAGTGTTAACCCATCAGTAATTATTATTGAATCACCTTTTTACGATTCAAATTACCACATTATATAGATAAATTTGATTTAAGACAAGACTGAAGAAGCCATTGGAAATGTAGAGAAGGATTACAACAACAAGACTGAAGAAGTACAAAAGGATTACAACCACTAAAACAAATAGTACAAATAACCTATGACAAAATTGAATAATTACAAAGGCACATCAACAAATTACCAAAAGACGTCAACGAAGAACAAAGAAAAATACAAATGAACATTGCTGCCAGAATAAAACACCTGGAAGCTAAACTATCAAATGCAATGACCAAACCACACACACCTTTTTCTGCACACACCCAAAGATTCCATCCTCAAACATCTTTAAATATGAAATGTGGAATAGGAGAGCCATTTGGTCTACGCTTGCTACTACTGCTGTGTCATCTATGACCATAGAACCTTCCTGGACTACTCCAGCTATATTATTTCATCATCAGATTACAAAATCGTCCGATCCAGAAACCAAACTGTAGGTTGGGTTTTATCTGTAGGACTATTATCTGGCTGCTGAATAGAGGGCATGAACAGTAGAGCCAAAACAAAATACAGGTAAAAATCAAGAGATGAAAAACAAGAGAAGTAATCATGGAAACATCCTCTTTTACAGCCAGGAAAAGCTTTAGTGTGCAGTACATCATAAGTCCTCGGATTACATTCTTCAACCAGCAGTTTGCATACAGTGCTATTCCATCTCAAGTTACCTTATTCAGGTTTACACATTTGTAGAGGTTACTATCCCAGCCTACTAGGAGTGCATATAGAAACGCGTACATGCTTGCTCTAGGATTTGCACGTGTTTACGGCTCCTCTACTTGTTACTTACTCAATGGTAGAGTAACCACGAATGTTAACAGTTTTAGAAGCAAAATGCCTTTTTGTGTTACCGTTGAAAACTCGCGTTTTGATTTAAAATAGTTTTTTTTTCAACTACCTTCTCGAAATCGAAAAATATGAGGTATTAATTACTCAAAATCTTTGGCAGAATTCGTTTTCAGAAAATATCTTCTTGTACACGTTTAATTACATGCAGCGTGAGATTCGTCAGGAGGTATTGCACTACTAAATTCTGTATGCAGTTATAGTGTAGCTTGCAATGAACGGGCTTGTAGGGATGCCAACAACTCGTGATGAAACACACACGTTCTGTTGGTTCATAATAATAATAAACACGTAAAATGGTTACCTATTCTTTCATATATGAAATGATGACTGTTCTATGACCAAATTATAAATCCTGTCTCCTGTTTGTAAATTGTGGAAATCACATCTTGGCAGTATAAGCAAAATGTGTAAAATACAATAAAATTCTATATTTTTCATGTGAAAGTTTAGTGCTAAAATTTCTCGATATTAAAAAATATTTTTTCCTCTAGTTTTCTCGATTTCACCAAAATAGGGGGTATTTTTGGTCGAAGACTCCTTGATATGGGTAAGTTTTTAAAATTTCAGATCTGTTTGTTTGTTGTTCCGCACAAAGCTAGACAATGGGCTATCTCTACTGTGCCTACCACGGGTATCGAGACTTGATTTTTAGCATCATAAAATCTGAAAACACGCGTTGCTGCCTACTTTTCTAACAGTAACGAACTTTTGAGATCCAGTCAACACAAATGTGATTAACTACATGAAGATACTACATGCAAATTTATAAAAGTTATCAAATATACCTGAAAATATACATGTTCTATACTAATTATTAAAGAGTGAAATTAATATTTATTTTAGCTACGTTCGACATTTGAGTTACCTCAAACAACTGAGTGAACTTACTCATTTTTTATGTGAAAAACCTTAGCAGTAGTTAATGGGGTTGACTGCAATGTTTGATGGCTTTTTTTTTACTTTTTTTATATGATTCGTATTGTTACGTCTCTGTTCGTTTGTTAATTTCCGGTATAAATTCTATCCGAGGAACTTCAGCGATACAAGTCCTTTCTTAAATAAAACTGGTTTATTCTTTTTCGATACAACTTTGTAATACACAGGATTTCCACAGTCAATTTAACTTAACTACTTTTATAAACACACGCTGTAATTCACAGCGATTCACACACTTTACTTACGGTGCCTGCTGTTCGTTTGACTCAATTATCTATCTCTATATCTATCTATCTATGCAATTATATCTTTCTAGCTGGCTTTATTTGCCGGACTTATATACTAAAAAAGAGGGTGCCTGGAACAAACTAGAGTTGCCAGGAAAATTTATGATCCTTAGAGAAACTCCAGCGCGCATGCTCCCAGCGTCGCGTGACATCCGCTGTCGTAACAGTATGTTATTATAATAATGGCTGGAGACGGCTTGAATGGGTAATGAAGAAAAACTTTAATATAAGTTTAACGTAACAGCAAATGTACAAGGTTTTGTCATCATCAGGTAACATCAGTATGTTATTATCATCTTTATAACCAAGAAGGTCATATGCCCACAAGGAATTTGGTGCATAAACAGTTTAGGAAAACGTATTCCAAATGCCACTGTTTTTTTTTTCTTTCTTTTTTGTATATGGACTCCATTGGCAATTCACTGATTGATTTATGATCAAATACAAATATTCTAGCCATAACTGGTAGCTTCCAATAATAAAGTTAACAAAATGTTTATTGCTTTACGCTTATATCGATGGGCACCATCGCATCAAGTAATATCAGTCTTCTACGTACACAACGCACGCTAACTTACTATAAAGAATATAGGGTAGTATTTTATATTTTCTACGTTTCAGGCTTAAAGTGAAAAGTTACTCACTATATAGTGCTCGGAATAACTTAAACTTGCATAAGATACGTAAATAAATCTAAAATCAGTATTTATATTTCATTTAGTCAAATAGTTTTCAATATTTATATTAACAATCAAGTATATATTCGTAACTTGAGTTCGCACACATGATCCCAGTACTTCCTACACTTTCCCGCGAGTTCTTGACGAGACAGCTGATCAGCCGTCAGTTTGTATTGTTACGCGAAAGTAACTAGTGCAAAATGAAAATATAATGTATTTGCTTTTATTCCATATATATTGATAGATTATGGTTTTATATTTTAAAACCATGACAAATTTATAACTGAATTATTTTTGATTGCAAATTTAACTTTACTACAAAATCGTAAGAGTAATACATCAAGCAAAAGAAAGCGCTATATTTTCCCGCCAAACGGTGTCGTTTAGCGTATGGAGGTGGTTGTTTTCGTATACTCTTGTACTGATTTATACGTTAAAAATTGTTAATATAATTCTGAGATCTGAACTTGAAAATGGCGTTGTATAATCGAAATAGTGCGAAGAGAAGAATATTTAATGGAATACCAAGACAACAGGAAGACGTTTTAGAAAGTTTGGGCAGGTAAGTTACTGTTACAATGTTAAATAGAACAAACCACATTGGGAAAGAGGCGTGTGTGATAGTGATACCGGTAGTTAAGTTAAATTGCCTTGTTAGAAAGTTGTACCTAGTAATATAGTGTGACGTAACTCCTGTAACTAACTTGTATTTTTGTAAGCTTAATATGCAATTTTTAGGCGTACTAAGTTATTTTGTGTATTTACTAATAGTATCAATATACTCGTATTAAACCTAATTAGTGACGCTTTTATAATATTAATAATAGTAACATTAACTTGTCCCTGTACTACTTTCTTTAATTTAAAGAATTTCGCTAAATTAATTATGCTGATTAGGACCAATTTCTATAAGAAAAGGATGATATTAATAAAGTAATTTCTAAGTAACTCGGCAGTATATTAACTAAGTAACTAATTGATTTTGTAGTTGGACTGTGGAATGAAAATAAATACTCTAAAGCTCATAACTAAGTGGAGTTTGCTTTAATTTATCAATCTAAATGAGGTTAATTTACACACTAAGCCCTTTGTTTATAAATTAAAACACTGCATTCATAAACATTATTTTAATTTATGTCTTAATCCTGAGTTGTTAGGATTTCATTGCATTCCTTTGCCAATTAGGAATATGTTTCATTACGTTTTATTCTTTTTTTTTATTCCATCCACAGTTATTTTCTTTATTCTATAAAAAACAACAGCAACAAACGCTCACTGTCTCTTATTACCTACATTTAATTTATTTAACAATAACAGTGAAACTCTGACAGTTGCGTGTGTCAACACAGGGAGGAAGAGGTCTACGATAGTACCTGATCTGGGAAGATCCTGACAAAAGGATCTAAATCCCGATCCATGTGTGTCAACGTAGCTGACTGATAGGAGCGATTTAGATACATAGTCACTGGGTGTGAGTTTTACACTAGTATTGCCAGTTCTATTGGGCGAAATAATATGGGAAAGAAAATATATATATATATAACAAAATGTAGGCAGTTGCTTACTTGAATGTGGGTGGATAACGAAAACTTAGTTCAAAAGTTGAGGATGTTCATTAAGTTCTAAACGATCTGATGTTGTGTAAAAATTAACATTGACCATGTAAAAGAAAAAAAAAAAGTGTAAAGATGAAAAAGTTGAATACACAGCAGTTGTTGAAGTGGTTTTAATAGGAGAATCTAAATATTGTGGACAGAGAGAGAGAGAAATAAAAAAGCAGAGGCAGAGTGAAAGAACAGATATGGAAATGATGATGTATGTTTTGCAAGTTTGGATAATTTTTCTAGTTAACTGTAAAGTAGAATAGTTTTATTTTAAATGGGAAGAAAAATTTTTAAACTGTTTAATTTAATTAATCAAGTGTAATGTGCATAGTGATCTAAAAAATAGTTTTTTATAATAAATTATTATGTAATTCTGTAATTCGTATATTAAAGCACGAGTTAATTTCTGATCTCTTTTCCGAATAATAGTATATGCGTTAGAGAACTTATTTTAATCAGTGTTAAGATTTTATGACCAACTTATCGTTTTTAGTTACCTTTTATGGTCAGTGACGATCGTTTTACATAATAAGGTGTTGAATAATTATAATGCTGATGTGATGTTTGGGAATTTTAAAATTTTTACTACGCAGTCTATCTTTATTTCGAAGTAGCTATATAATTTTGAAATTGAATGTTGCAATGACTATTTTAGATTTAATTTCAATATTTCATTTTAAATGACGCAACACGAGTTAGCTGTGTGTGTGTTTGTATATTTACTTATAACAAAAACACAACTTTGTCCACTAGGGGAATCGAACCCCTGATTATAGTATTGTAAATCCGAAGACTTACCGCTGTCCCAACGGGGGACAGCGAGCTGTTATGTTCTACACTTGTAATCTCGTACACCATTCGTTTGTTTGGTGTGGAACATTAATTTTCAATCACTTCATTTTATTTCAGCTTATATTGAAGTACGGTTTGTAATGACTAGAATAAATACTGATCTGTTTTGTTCATTTGTAAATGTAATATATAAAGATTTGTCGTTAAATTGTTGTTGTTGTTTTTTTTACTTTTTTAATGTTACAAACAAACTAATATTAAATGGCCCCCATTAACAGTTGTAGGCGATTTTGTCAGTGCTGCTATTACACGGTTTAAGGAACCGTCGCTATAGCAAAGTCATGTGCTTGTGAGGCATCCCACTCATCTCTTTGCACTTGTACCCACACACACACACACATCATCATAGTAGACGTACTAGAGACAGACTATTTGGCGTATTGCCAACTTCATGAGCTTCAGTGGATTTAGTTTGTAGTCTGGCGTCTAGCACCTGGTAACGCGTCCAGTGGGAAGACTGAACTAAAACTAACTGCAGCGATCAGTGACGCAGAGAGCAAAAATTACAAAACAGTTTCTTACCTTTTTAAAGATGCATAATACTCCAAAGAGCGATTACAGTATTTTGCCTCTGCAAAACTAAATTCTTAATAAAGTTTAAAATCGTTAAATGCTTAATTTCTCGTACTAAAGGTATCGTAAAGTTCAGTACTCGTATCACATAAGCATTTACTATTAGAGGATATAACCACTATTTATTCATATTTCACATCAATTATTTTGTAGTACAGCTCTATAGTTAATGATAATAAACTTAACAGTTCAAACGGAAGAGTCAAACTATACTTCAAGTAATCTTCAGCAGAAGAAAAGAAAGACTAATATGTTATATGTTTTTGGTAGTCTTGGAAATAGACCAGTGTCATCTAAGTCGGAAATGGAACAAGAAAAAAGAATTCGCCGAGAAATTGCCAACAGTAATGAAAGACGTCGAATGCAGAGTATAAACGCGGGTTTTCAGTCCCTTCGTGCTTTGTTACCACATCGCGAGGGAGAAAAGCTCAGCAAGGTAACATAAAAACTTATGTTTACATAATATCTAACTGCATGCTAAAGCTGTAAATCATATTTGTATATCAAATAATGGCATTATTTAAAACATAGTATTTATTTTAATGAGGAAAAAAACAAAACATGGTATGATAGAGAAATATTGCTCGATAAATCCAACTGTGATCTAACCCAGCACAATAGTTGCCGATGGAAGCTGGTGGCTATCTTATTCCCCACCTGTAGTTTATCAGTTCAAGATTAGGAACTTTTAACCCAGATAGCGCTTCAGTAGCTTTGCGAGAATCTTCGAAAACATAATTTGTAATATACTTATAGCAGAAATGAGACATTTTAAATTTTTAGTGAAATGAAATTATTAGTTTCTTATAAGAAAACAATTAGGTACGGATTATTCTACACAAAGTGAAAGTTCTTGTTCCAAAACACAAGGAATATGCAAAATATTTCAGCAGAAATGAAACTGTTGTGGTTTATATATGATTCAGAAACTTCCATTGACAACGGTGATATAATTACCGTATTATCTAATTTTCAAGGTCTCAGTACCGTTTCAAACACAGTCTACTGTAATTTTATATAATGATTAATTTCTTCCCCTGATTAGATCTTTTGCTTTCTCTAACGGAAGATAAGGCTTTGTGAAACAAAAGAGACAGTGGTTTGAACTGCTAGTGGAATTCCAGAAGACGGGTATTTCCATTATTGACATGACTTCTGTTATGTTTATATCACTTAGCTCCGATTGACGAAATGTTTCACGTAATTACCTTTTTTGAACGCATTCCATAGATGGTCGCGCCAATTGTCCTGGCAACCTGCCAAATCATACAGGTTTATTTATATGGTTGCTGTCTTTCACAGTGAACTAATAACTAGTAGAATAGTGTGGTATAAATATTATTATATAAAAAAGCATTCATCATTGTGATAACATCAATGGTTTTTTCCCCCCATGGTGATAAAAGCAATTCATGGAATAATTTTTTTGCCATTAAGCATGTCTCTATATATTTTTTTCATAAACATCGGATATATATATATATGTGTGTGTGTGTGTGTGTCATTTACAAACACGTCAATTATTTTAGCGGGCCATCATCGTTTCCAACAGTGTGCGTTGAGTAAAATAAAATGTAACTTTAATTAACAAACGAATAATTTGTGTTTGAGTTAACAGTAAACACAATTTTTACTTTTCGAAAGTAATAATCTTGTAAGTAATGTAAGGAAATTCAATACTGCAACTTTAACACCGATGATGTATTTTTAAGCACAAATCTTTGAAATGAGGTATCAAAAAACAAATGTAGCCCGTTGAAAGTTTTTTACTTTGTACACGTCTCTGATTTGAAACCGTAACCGAATAATTAAGAGAAATGGAATAACAAATTCCAGTTAAACGTGATTTTCCCCACTTTCCTTAGGCCTAGTAATCTTTCTTAATTTGCCATCACTGCATTGAATATCGTAAAAACGTGAGAAAGTTTATGTGTGTGTGTGTTTCCTTATAGGAAAGCCACATCGGGCTATCTGCTGTGTCCACCGAGGGAATCGAACCTCTGATTTTAGCATTGTAAATCCGAAGACTTAGCGATGTCCAATCGGGGGACGAGAAAGTTTAAACTGGATAATTTCATCAATTAAACATTTTACCCTATCTGTGCTCAACGTGTGATATTTGTATGGCGCACTTTTAGATATGAACTTATTCGGAGCATAGCTTACTATTTTTATTATAATGAGTTGTCAGTATTATTAGGATATATACATATATTGTTACGACAGTGGAGGTCACGTGACGCTAGTAACACGTCATCTTCTCGAACGTTCACGTCCCTTCCTGATATCTCGAGAGCCTACTAGATATGCGGTAGTCTTGTATATATAAACGGGTAAGAACTGACGGCTAGGCAATGTAATGAATAATTGACACAGTTGAGTCGAGCACGTGAGAAGTTCGTTGTGAATTATAGCGTTTGTTATAGCGCGACTGTGGAAATTAAGTGTATCGCAAAGTTGTATTCAGAAAGAATAAACCAGTTTTATTTAAGAAAGGACTTGTGTCGCTTAAGTTTCATCGGAAAGAATTTTTAGGGAAAATTAACTAACGAACGGAGACGTAACAATATATATAAATTAAGTAGTAATGTAAAATGTAACGTTTTTATTATGGATGTACGCACCAACAATCACATGATCTCGCCAACAAAACTGTAACAATAATGAAGACTGTAGGGATACCATAACTATAGAGGTGGATTTACAGTTTAAATTATCGTATAATTATATATTATTAAAGTATAAAAATACAACATTGGGTGTTATATCTATATATAAAAAAAGGAGGAAGGTTGAGTGATATCATTTTTGATAGAAAACTAGGACGGTTGATGATATCAGATTTTTTTATAGGAAACTATCATGTCTTCAAACTGGTCTGTAAACTATCAAAAGGCTATAAACGGTGAGATTGTGGAACGTTGTGGATTTTAGCACTCAAATCCTATTTGTATAAATGGTATAATTATACATTGTTTTGTTACAGTTTTGCTGGCGCCATCATTCATTTATTTGCGCATATACTCATAATAAAAAATATTGTATTTTAACATAATTATCTCTCAGGACTTAGCAGAGCTGAGTGATCGCCTGTACGCCTTTGATGTACTACAGATTATTGTGAAATGTACAGAAATATACGAATACATTAAATTATAAATATTTTTCAGTGTTGTATTGTTTTAAGGTTATTATTTGTATAATTATTTTAATTCTATAAAAGATATGTTGTTATGCATAGTATGAGTGCAATACATTCACGGTTGTTAGTAAAACAAAGTTTCAACTAGATTTTTTTTAAATCAGATATTAAGTATCGTTTATCTTTATGTGAAATAATTAAGTTGTATCAAATTACACTGAGCTCTTTAGTCATTCAACCCATTTTTTCCTCCCCTGTATTTACGTTAGAATGTCGCGCTTTTTTTAACTCCGAAAGTAATTGTTTTTGTTTTTTTTTACCATTTTTTCATCATGGGAAACATTTTCCCATGAATGTCAGTTCTAGACTTTTGAGCCCGGCATGGCCAGGTGGTTACGGCGCTCGACTCGCAATCTGAGGGTCGCGGGTTCGAATCCCCGTCACACCAAAACATGCTCGCCCTTTCAGCCGTGGGGGCGTTATAATGTGACGGTCAATCCCACTATTCGTTGGTAAAAGAGTAGCCCAAAAGTTGGCGGTGGGTGGTGATGACTAGCTGCCTTCCCTCTAGTCTTATACTGCAAAATTAGGGACGGCTAGCGCAGATAGCCCTCGTGTAGCTTTGCGCGAAATTTAAAACAAACAAACAAACATACACACCCTTCTCAAAAGCGATTAATATTCGACTGAATAATGACATCATACCAAACAATGTTCTGATACATGCTTTTCCAACGCAACTTTATATTTGTTGTGGTTGTCATGTGACTTGTTAATTTGTATCTTCAAAATAATTTTATTATGACGTACTCAATCCTCTCTTACTATTCGATGCTGTGGGTTGAAGAAAAGAATAGGCAGCTAATTAACGTGTGTATAACACGTAGCCTTATCTTAGACACGTTCAGGGAATAAATATTGACGATATAAACTGGTCAGGGTAACAGGAATAATTTGTAGTAGTATTTTTTTTTTCAATATACTTGAAATCAAGAAGTAAAATACTTTGAGACTGGCGTTAAAATCACGAGATAATCTGGTAGTGTAAAATTGTAACTGGCTGAGCAATGCTAGTAATAAGCCTGTGGTCCTTATCGTTCTGCATCTTTCAAGCAAATGGGTTTGGCATGATAGCCTGGATATGATTAAACTGTAAGATTCCCTTGTTAATATTGCCCGACGGAAATAAGTCACAATAGTAAGATATCCGTTTGTAGCATGAAATCGTGTAACTTGTGCTGTTTCGTCCGATATGTATAAATACAGTCAGTCTCCAAACTTCACTGTATAAGTTTACACGTTATTCAAAATATGGCAGGGACATCGATACTTTATTAAAATTCAGAATTAAATTTTGAGCATCTCAATACACTAAAATCATCGAGATTACTGACAACAAAAATAAGGTTCATGTGACAAATCAGACGAATTTCGATATGTATGCATTTTGAGAAACTACATTAAACATTAATTATAATTGTATCAATAAAGTAACGACTCAACCTTGACGATTCAGTTTAGCACACTTTCTATTATTTTGAGTTCTTCATTTTGGGCTGTACACAAAAAGTACAAAATGACTGAAGTTAAAATTAGTGTTGCAAGCTGTTGAAACATAACGTATGATACCGAATACATTCCCAAATTTTGACGCGAAATGTGAAAAGACACCTAACAGTGGTCCCTACCTATTCCATGATACAGCATATGAAAGTAAATTTGTAAACAACCAATGAACGATTACACTTCGGTACACCATCTTTAAAATGTAATCAAGTGTTTGATTTTAGTAGCTGTTTTAAATTAATTTTAAGTTATCCATCACACGGTAACGTGGGGAAAAAACTTTTTCGAAACATCGTTTTATGTTTGTTTGTTGAATTATGCACAAAGCTACTCGAATGTTATCTGTGTTAGCCGTCCATAATGTTGAAGTATCATGCAAGGTAGCTAGTCAACACCACCCACCGCCAACTCTAGGGGTACTTTTTACTAACGAACATTTTAATGCACCATATCATTACAACGCCCTCACAGCTGAAAGGGCGAGCATATTCGAAGACAGAGTTCGATCACGCGACCTGCAGATTTTGAATCTAACGCCCTAACCATCAGACTATTCCAGGTACACCAGTTTATGACAATGTGGGGTGTTTGTTAAGTTCATCGCATTTAAATTTATTTATACTGAAGAGATTAAACCAACTTCTTTGTATACATTCTTTATTTCTGTCTCTTTACGAAACAGTTATAAAAACTATTAATTAAATTCACATGCAACATTTTACGCATCA